CTGCCTCAACCTCCTGAGTAACTGGATTATAGGCACCCACCACCACACCCAACGAATTTTTGTATTTTTAGTAGAGAGACGGGGTTTTGTCACCAGGCTGGTCTCGAACTGCTGACCTCAGGTGATCCGTCCGCCTTGGCCTTCCAAAGTGCTGGGATTACAGGTGTGAACCAGTCTGCCTGTCCTGTTTCATTGCAATTCTTCCAGCTAAAGCAACTGGTGGGCCAGCTTACATTTCGGGGGAGCCCACCTGGTAGGAAGGTGGGAAGAGCAGCAGGGACCGAAAGGTTGGTGCAATATTTTTTTAGATGAGTCTTGCTCTGTTGCCAGGCTGGTGCGCAGTGGTGCGATCTCAGCTCACTGCAGCCTCCACTTTCTGGGTTCAAGCAATTCTCCTGCCTCAGCCTCCTGAGTAGCTGGGACCACAGGCTCACACGACCATGCCCAGCTAATTTTTGTATTTTCCATAGAGATGGGGTTTCACCATTTTGGCCAAGGTGGTCTCAATCTCTTGACCTTGTGATCCGCTCACCTTGGCCTCCCAAAGTGCTGGGCTTATAGGTGTGAGCCCACTGTACTGGGTGAGGTTGACGGAATATATCACGCCCAGCTAATTTTTTTGTATTATTAATAGAGGTGGGGTTCACCATGTTGACCAGGCTGGTCTTGAACTCCTGACCTCAGGTGATCCGCCCACCTTGGCTTCCCAAAGTACTGGGATTACAGGCACGAGCCATGGTGCCCGGCACACGCTTTTCATTTTCTGTATTTTATTATGCTTTGACATCTTGGGGGCTTTACTAGTCAGGGAGCCCCTGCCTCTCCCGGGGCTAATTCCCAGAGCTAGCAAATAAGTTGCCTTTCATATACAAACCAATCCAGAGCCCATATCTGCAGCCTCTTCCTGATCTCATTCTCACACCCCAAGCCAGCATTTCCCCTGCCCTGCATCCCCCAGGGGCAGATGCCAGACAGCTAGAGCCCGTGACCCAGAGCCTGCTGCCATTATTCAAGCCCTGTAATCTTAAACTTGCTCAGACTTACCTACCCTGCCTTGTCCATTTTCACCCTGAGGAAAACCCAAAAAAGGCTGCGGGCTGTGCTGTCTCCTGGCTCCTCATGACCTGGCTTCCTCCCCTCTGGCTGTGCGTGGTGTGGCGTGGCCCCTCCTGCTGGGAACTACGAGTATCAAACCCTTCCTTTGTGGCGATTGTCTACCAGTCTGTCGCTTCACACACCTGATTCAAACAGAGTCCAGGTAAATTTTAGGATACAGAGTATACCCTGGTTCTCCCCCTTCTGGCCCTGAAGGGAGGTGGATTGCCTGTGTGGGTTCTGAAGCACTGAGAGTTCCCACACTTGGAGGTGGGGAGCATGGCAGTGAGTTAGGAGCTGAAATCACCAAGAAATGAGGAGCTGACCAGAGCGCAAGGTGGTGCTGGTGGTTCTGAGACAGGAGACTTGCGTATCTGGTAGCTCCCAGGGTGGAGAATGGCCTGGGAGTGTTAGGAAGGAGCCGGGGGCCCCACCACACCTACAGACCCAGGGGTAGAGGGATCCTGGGGAAAGAAACCTCTACACCTGAAAGCTCCAGGGGAAGCCAGTTTTTCATTAGAGCACAGTTTAAAGAACGCTCAGAGAAGAGTCTAATGACAGGGTGGTTGGTGCTGGTGGTGGTTTCTGGGACACAGGATGGGTGACAGATGGGGCCTGTAGGGCACGCTGGGAGCCAGATGTAAGGCTGAGTGCCCCACAGGGTCGTGGGGTGAGCCTTATGCTGTGCTGAGGCTCAGGATCCGAGAAATAAAGAGACAGGACACACAAGTACAAAGAAAATGCATCTGGGCTTGGGGGGGCCACGCCACCTATAAGCAGAGTCGGGCAAGGCTGGCGAGGCAAGGCTGGCGAGGGTGGTGAGCCCTGAATGTCCAGAAGCATGAGTATTTATTGTGTATAGGTTAGGGGGCAGGGCAGTGAGTGAAATCATCTTTAAGGATAGTGATAGGGTCGTGAGCAATAAAACAAGGGGTCCACCCCCATTAGGTCACCGAGGCTTGAAGGTGGGCCGCACAGTCAAGAGGGTGCAGTGTGCGATACTTCTATGGGCAGGCTACTTTTTTTTTTTTTTTTTTTTTTTTTTTGAGACGGAGTTTCGCTCTTGTTACCCAGGCTGGAGTGCAATGGCGTGATCTCGGCTCACCGCAACCTCCGCCTCCTGGGTTCAGGCAATTCTCCTGCCTCAGCCTCCTGAGTCGCTGGGATTACAGGCACGCGCCACCATTCCCAGCTAATGTTTTGTATTTTTAGTAGAGACGGGGTTTCACCATGTTGACCAGGATGGTCTCAATCTCTTGACCTCGTGATCCACCCGCCTGGGCCTCCCAAAGTGCTGGGATTACAGGCTTGAGCCACCGCGCCTGGCCTGGGCAGGCTACTTCTAAGAAGATTTATAGGAGGATGCCTTAAGTCACACAGCAGTGACAGACCTGTCAGGGTTACCGCCACCTTCTGGCAGCTTCCAATGGGTTCTGTGGGAAGATGCTTTCCAAGCAGCACCGTAGCAAGAGCTGATGAAGTTCACAGTCACCAAGGTGGACTGCCGGTCCGAGGGCACCTTCCACAAGAACTGGAGCAAGGTCCTACAACTCCTTTATCAGGAGGAGTGGCTCTCGCCCCAAGCCTGCCATACAGCAGGTATCTTTACGATACTGAACGCTGCTGCCTGGGCCGTGGGTTCTTGTCCTGGTGTAACTGTTTTCCCTTAATTCATGCTCTGCACTGTGTCTGCTCCAGACATTCCCCCGATTACGAACTAAGATATAATTATAGGTATATATGTAGGGAAATATTCTTTAGGCACTCATACTATCAACTATTATATGATTATATATAGAGGATTATATAAAGGGATTCTTCAAGCGCTATTTCTATAAACTAATATATAATTATGTAAAGGATTATATAAAAGGAAATAGCTGAGTAGTAACACTATAAAGTGAGATATTCCTCAAGCCCTAACTGTGCCAGGGTTCTGCTTAGCTCTCAGTCCTCAGTGTCTATATGGGGGGTTACCCATGGGGCCAGAATCAATGATGTACAGAGCCCTGTGGGGCTTAGATTGTGGCAGACCTGGGATAAACGCCACCTGTCTTCTGTCTGTTGTCTTCCGTCTCAGTGGCTTGCAATACAATCCCTCTCTCCCTGCTTGAAACACGTTTAAAATTTTTAAAATTTATTTATGTATTTGTTTATTTTTGCAACAGAGTCTTGCACTGTCACCTGGGCTGGAGTACAATGGCACGATCTTGGCTCACTGCAGCCTCCACCTCTCGGGTACAAGTAATTCTCCTGCCTCAGCCTCCCAAGTAGCTGGGATTATAGGCATGCATCACCATGCCCAGCTCATTTTGTATTTTTAGTAGAGATGGGGTTTCTTCATGTTGGCCAGGCTGGTCTCAAACTCCTGATCTCAGGTGATCTGTCCGCCTTGGCCTCCCGAAGTGCTGGGATTATAGGTGTGAGCCACCACGCCTGGCTTTTTTTAGTTTTTTTGAGACGGAGTCTTGCACTGTGGCCCAGGCTAAAATGCAATGGTGCGGTCTCGGCTCACTGCAACCTCTGCCTGCTGGGTTCATGAAACTCTCCTGCCTCAGCATCTCGAGTGGCTGGGATTACAGGCACACACCACTACACCTGCCTCATTTTTTGTATTTTTAGTAGAGATTGGGTTTCGCTATGTTGGCCAGACTGATCTCGAACTCCTCACCTTATGATCAGCCCACCTCAGCCTCCCAAAGTGCTGGGATTACAGTCGTGAGCCACAGCACCTGGCCAACACTTTCTTTCTGACTCCTGGCATGGCTGATTGCCATTCCTGGGGGCTGTCCACAATCCTTGCCATCCCATGGCACTCTTCTCTCTTATTCGGGAATTCTGCGTGTGCATAGTCTTGTCAGCAAAGTGTCTGGATCATGGCCAGTTAGACTCACCTCCTGAAACGTCAGAATCCCAAGGGAGCCAGCTGGGCCTCGGGCTTCAGTGTCTCTTCCAGCCTGGCCTGGGGGCTCCTCCAGCCTGTGAGTCCCCCTCCTTTTGCTGGGGTGCTGGAGTCCTCCTCCTTGACCTGTTACCTTCTACCAACCAGAGATGGCAACGTTTTAGTGCTTTGCTCCTAGGCTCATTCACAGAAGTAGTCGGTCCACTTGGGGATCAGTGGCACCTCAGACTCTGCTTGTGATGACTCTCCCACCTGCAAACCGCGTGTGTCTAGGCCCGTCCTCCCCATCAGAGAAGGCCACCCTCTTTGCCGGCTGTCCTAGAAAAACTCGCAGCAGTGGGGCCCGCCTCACCCACTCCATGGTGAGCTGGTCCCTAGGCGAAGGTTGCCTTCCCTCTCTGGGACTGTCCAACGGGTCTCTCCCCACTTAGGTCCCCAGGGCATTGGAGTCCCACCCCCGGCGGCTCACTCTTTACAAAGTGACCTTTAAAAAAGAGAAATCGGAGTGTGTTCCTCAGGTCTCAAGTAATCCAAGTCCCCGCCCCACCTGGCCCCCGACCCCCCTGCTGCGGACCCCGCCCCGCCCACGTGTGGCTCCGTTGGGCCCCGCACCCCATCAGGCCAGCAGGGGGTGCGGGGCAGGTCCGGGGAAGACGGGAGAGGGGCGGAGCAGGTGTCGGAGGGCGGGGTAAGTGCTGGGGTGGGACAGGTGCGGGGGAGGGGGGCAGGTTTGGGGAAGGCGGAAGGCGGGACGGCGGTGCCGGGGGCGGGCAGGTGCTGGGACACGGGGGTAGGTGCGGGGCAGGAGCCGGAGGTGGGGGTTGAGGTGGGGCAGGTGCTGGGCGGCGGAGCACTCCGGCCCAGGGCGCCCGCGCGGCCCCGAGACGTTTTTCCGCGACCCCGGGTGACGGAGACCGCTGGAAGGGGCGGGCGGGGGCAGGGGTGGGGGCGGGGCGGAGGCGTGGGCGTGGTCGGGGTCGGGGCGGGGTCGGGGTCGGGGGTGGGGGTGGAGGCGTGGGTTCTACCCGCAGCTGAGCGCAGCGGCGGCCTCCCCAGTCCCAGAGCTCGCCTCGGCCCGCCCCGCCCCCGGCCCCGCCCCGGCCCCGCCCCGCCCCCGCCCCCTGACGGGCGCGACGGTGACTCCCTCAGTGGGGCACGCAGGGGACGCCTGCGCCGCAAGTCCCTCAAGTGGCGCCCGACGCAGCGCGGCCACTACCCAGCGGGGCGGGGGCCCGGGCCTGGGCCTGGGATGGATGAGGGCGGCCGGGGGGGCGGGGGCGGCCGGAGGGGGCGTGGCCTGGAGGGCGGGGC